AGGCACTTAGAATGCCTCCTCAACCCAACTCACTGATGCCCACACAGTGCCTGCTGGGGAGGAACCTCCTTTGGCGCATTTGGCACAGCTTCTGGAACAGCCTTGCGGTCGCAAGGAGAACGCTATGCGTATAGGGAGGGAAGGCAAGTTGTTTAGTTGAGATCGGAGCAGTGGAAGCTAATGATAGCTACGCCAATAACTATTAAAAGGCACTTAGAATGTCATTTCAACCAACTCACACACGATGTACCCCCAAAGCACCTCCGGGTCCTGGTCAGCCTGCGCATCTTCCATGACAACCTTTAGGAAATTGCAGAGAGAGGGAAAGACTGTACAACCATGTGGATCCACAACTAGCCACAAAACCAGGCCTGATCCATACTGGCATTCGGGGTCTCTTTGCGCATGCGATCCATGCGGGGAACATTTGCCTCAAACATAGTCACTTGAGATACTTCATGTATACACACAGGTACACACAGCTTCCATTAGCAGGGTGGGGTTGCTGCCAGGACACATAGGATTGGAACCACTTGGCTGTCACTAGTGGTGTAGCGCACTCTACCAACACATCGAAGTGACCAAAAGCCCTCTTCTCATGCACAGCTGGAGTGTACCTAAAATATAGATGCGCCAAAGGTTTACCGGCCCCATAAACCGCATCCATCTTGATGTTCTCGCTACCCTGTGTGTCCACAATGGCTTTGTAAGTATCGCTGCCCATAGAGAGCCTGATAGTGCCCCCCATGCATTCTGCAATCCACCTCAGGTCCTCCACCTCAAAGGAGCTTTCCTTCCACACTTGCAAGATTCTCTGCTGGATGCTGGGAAACTGCTGTAAGGCAATCTCACCTAAGGAAAACATGGAAAACATGGCGCGTCAAAAGACTGTGTAAAGGTGTTTCCCAAGGGTAACACAATAAACTCCGGTTTATGAGCGTTTATTTATGCGCATGTGCCCTTCCAGAAATTCTACACACAGATATAACTATATATATCGGTATGCTGTATGTTTTGACACCTCTGAGGGCAGTACATGTCCTCTTGCACAACTCTTGACTAGTGGAGATCTCTTCCTCATTCTGGTGATGGTTGACAGGATAATGGGCCTGGTTCCTGCAAGGGAGGTTATGCTTAGAATGCCTGGTTGTGTGCAACTTGTTCAACACAGTTGCAAGAAAACAAGCGCCATGTACAGTCCTTGGAATGGATTCAAACAAGCCAATGTCTTGGCAAGCCAGGATGGCGCGCCAACCACAGCGGCCATCTCCAGCTACCCCCACTGTGCGATACTGAATCCTTGACCGCTCCACAGCTCTGGGTTCCATTCTCTTTTGTCCCTCCATGACAGAGGTGACAACTGCTTTGCGCACCTTGCTGTTGAGCCGCTGGCTGTTGGATACAAACAGGTCTTCCAGGCGACAGAGGTTGCCCAGAAGGTCCTTTGGAGCCCGGGCATAGGATGGGGCTCTTTTCCTGAGATCGCTGGTGCCCGAAGAAGCCTCCAGGATGTTCACGTCCCCGTGTGAACGGGTATTGACCTGATCTAGTGAATGCAAGTAGAAAGGAAAGTAAGGCAAGCTGACTATACAGAGGTGGTGGGGCTATATATACAGGAAGGGTGTAAGGAAGATACCGGATACTTTATTTCATGTTAAAACTGCCAAGCTGCAAATATGCCAATGACAGGTGAAGTAATTGGCAGTATTTGCTTTAGCCGGTTCTCAGTCTCAGAGCGCTCGGCCTCGGGACCTTGGATGAACCCGACTGGCTTCACGCCATCAACTTTACACAGCTTCTTGATTTTCTGGTGGTTCATCAACGCGTCCACGGTGAGGTCGCTGGTAGTTACGATCTTGGTGCACATCCCACGTCCCTTTTCGGATTTGCCAACCAGCAAACCCAGAAGACCCGGTGAGCGGTCTTGCCAGGCTGCAAAGGATGCGAGTGCGCCTTTTTGAACTTGAATGTTGCATGGTGGAAGGATCGGCCCGCACTTTCGAGCCTGTTTCAGCAGTTCTGATGTGATGTCCGTGGCATCTTGTCCGGTAGGCTCCGTGATTGCAAAAGCACCAAAGCCTTCTTGTTGGCCAGCTGCAATTGCTTGAGCAGCAGCCTTGCTTGGCAAAGGTTAACACTTAGAATGCCTATGCCAGGAGCTCCAAAATACAAAACATAATATATATCCATCTAATCATCCGTTCATCCATCCATCCATCCATCCCGGATAAGATCCACATGGAGTGAAACTTGATGCACAAACAAGCAGCTGTTGCTTTCTGGGATGGGTCCTTGCATGTTCCACTATGCATCTCCACTAGCCACTTGTGACAGTGACTGCATGAGACCATCTTCCGCGTAGTAGATGCATCTCCCTTAGTGAAGGTTGCCTCAAAGCCACCACCAGGGGTTGCCTTCACGTTCCCATTGTAACATGGGATGACGGACTTGAGAATTTCATTCTCCACCCAACCTGAGTGGGGATTCCCTTGTCAAACCGCAACACACAAATTGCTTAGAATGCCTTCCACAATTGCAACTCCCTTTCTACATATAGAACGTCAATCCCTTAAAGCTTGTTACAATGCCAATCACCTAAGCATGTAAAAACCATATTTTTTTGCACATGAAAACATATCAACATGTCTTTAGGCCTGTAAATACATACATATATATATATATAGGTGATGCAACCATAATGCTGCTTTGTAGCTGACCTTCCCATCAACACACTGATGCTGTGCCTGCTCCAACTGGGCTGCAACAGTCCGGCTCTTGGTCACCTGGATCCCGATGTCATCCAACCAAGCTTTCCGCTCCTTGGGATGCATGTTAAATCAAAGGTGGTTGAGTATAGAGTCTGAAGTCTGAAGTAATTACAGTACTGTAATTGAGAATTTGCAAGCAAGTGGTCAAAATCTGTCCTGCCCCCTCTTTGCTTGAAACTGTGCTGTCATCTTGGATGCGACTTCGTGGAATTTCACGGCGGCAACTCGTGCAGTATCTGAATCCCCATAGTCTGCAAAGTTAAACCTGCGGATCTCTCCAGCTAGTCGCACACTGAACCTTAGTGTTTCAGCCAGTCTATTGCAAGCAAAACCAAAAAAGGACTACATTGTGACAACATGAATTCTACAGACAAACCATGAGAAAGCAAATATGACTGCAACAGATCCTTAGAATGCCTTCAGGCAAGTAGCATTTTGCTACACTTGTTGATGCCCTTTGGAAGATCACTTTTTGATGCCTCATCCGCTGCAGCTGGAATGCCGCTAGAAGATGCTGGAGCACCCTGCCTTATCTTAAGGCCGGAAAGGAATGAGAATTGCAAAGAGCATACTATGCAAAGTGAAGTACCCTTTGTGTTGACTGTCACTTTGGGGGAGGTTATGTGAAAGAACGTTTAACACGGAACACCTCAGAGTTACACAATTCTCCTGGATCACAGTCACAAAAGAAAACAAAACTGTTTGTACACAAATATCCAGGCACAGTGAGCGATCGTCCTGGGCATCGCCTAGTGGTGGAGGTGGCACAGGAGGAAGTCCTGGTGGCTCTTCCCCATCGGAACTTGGCACAGGCTCCAACGTTGCCTGCAAAACAGCCTCCATAGCTGCGTGATCGCCAAAAAGGAAACCTGCTTGGAAAACTGCTGCTTCTAATGATGCTTTCTGTCAGATGCTGTCAAATGCGCACATATGCATATATGTGTACATACTGCTTTCCAACATCTATGTATATATATATATATCATCTATTTTGAGCCACGTGGATCTTCTGGTCGGGCATGTCTTCAAGCGTGCCCCAAAAATGAATACCTTCAGGCAAATCGGCGCAGAAATGCCACTTTTAGCATGCCTTTTCACAAAAGGCATTCTATGCATGTAAAAAAAAGGCATTCTATGGAAAAAAACATTTTCCATCGTAAATCACCAACCGGCATTCTATCTTTCAGTCCGTCGGTATAATTTGATGCTAGTTTGTGTCAGGCAGCATCCAACTCTAGCAAAACAACACAAAATCTCTTTACGGGATCATCATTGCTCGTTTCATCCGACTCTCGTATACAAAAAAACAGGGCATAGCAGGCTTGGATGACGCCGCCAAACAAAGCTAGTCCGAGTGTGGGATAGGGCTGGATAGGGAAAAAAGCCATGTCGGGACAATAATTCGGTCGAAACCATGTGACGTCTTGCTTTGGAGGGGAGCACCGGGCACCCACCTGTGTGAGCGTCGTGACCCGTGGTTGTACATCACATCCAATTCACCACTCAAACAGTGACCGCTCGAACAGTCTAGTCTAGACTGTTTTTCTTGACGGTTCCCTCGGGAGGGCTGTTTCATGCAGGTAGGTCAGCCGACTTGAGTTCACTATAAAGAGGAAAGCACTAACATGCTAACACTAACGTTCACTGCATAATCTGCATATGGATTCGGCTTCAATCGATTCACCTTCTCCTAGTGAGTGTGGGTGGATGCACATCAAACGCACAAATTGGCTGTCTGCAACGGGAACGGGAACGTCCAAAATAAGCTCCACACGCTCAATCCCTTCATCTCACTCAAACCGAAGTACCTTCACAATGAGACTGCCGCTGGAGCTACTGTCAGCACGAAGGATGAGTGGTGTCAGATAGCTCTCACCAATTCAGGATCGAATTGCCAGCAAAACATGAAACACTGAGTCACTGAGTTAACCGCAACTTGACTGCTGAATTGTCTTGGAGGATGAGGTCCCGGCTCAAGCAGATTCATCACATTTGTACAGCACATGTTTAATGGCACTCCAGCAGAGGTTTCAACTCCAATGGTTATTCTTTCTGTTCGCAACATTCCATTGGTACAATCCTCTGCTGTTTGCAACCTTGTCAATACGTTTCCTCCTGGACCTATGCTTCAAACCACCTCATGGGCACATGGTCGCAAGCATGGCCTTGGTGTAGGATGTCCATTGTTCTGAGAGGCTGTGGGAGTCTTGTCTTATGGCAGGAAGTCCCCAGTACAAAGCAGTTCATGGGGTCAAATCACAGTTGTACAGCCGGGGCGGTTCGATAAGTGACCTCCAGACAGAACATGTTATCAAACTTGTCCTCCATCTGCCACAGGCAAACATGAATCAAGGCAAGGATCCAAAGATCCAAGGGCCATGGGCAAGATCAAGCCGTGCTTCTGGCCATAGCTACCTTGGAGGGGCTCTGTAATCACATCTCCACCCTCGTGTGTCTCTGAAGTAGATCCTCTCTGGTTTTGGAAACCTCCTGTTGAGAATCCATTGGATTGGTCATCGAACAAATAGGTGTTGGGAATCACTAAGCTTCATGGGTCTCATCAACCCAAGACCTACGTAAATACAAAGCCAATCATTTCGATGGAGCGCGATAAAGTCGTTCCAATGCCAATAAGAGCACCGAGATTCACATAACATCAAGACCTACACCTTCAAGCTTACAGTTCTTAGCAAGTAGGCGGAAACAAACTCGCAGCTAGAGTACGGGCAAGAGCCAGGCCAGTACGGGTAAGCTCGGCTAGGCCGATGAGAAGATTCAGAAGATGTTTGACCAAACGGATATTCCATGATATTCCGGGTCTTGTAATGTTTTGTATGCAAACGATCCAGATATCTAAAGATTCTGATCCGCAAGAAAAAAAGGGAACAGGTTCGTTTTACACAAGCTGTCCACTCGTGTCCACTCTTCTGCTCATTCTTGCCGGATTTCCACTCTTCATTGCTACCCGTTCGCTTAGGCCCTGCTTCCTTCGTTCCGTTTCTGGGACCCCCGGGCCGAAGCACCAGGAGCCCAGTGCCGCCGAGGCCACGGTCACCGCCGCCAGGGCACCAATGGAGGCTGCGGAGGCGGGGCAGATCCACCAGGGTGTGGAGTGTGGATGTACGTGGAAATGTTTGAATGTGGCTTCTTGTGCCAGATTGAGCAACCCTTAGCTATTGAAGGTGGAATCCACTCAAAATGTGGATCGATTGGATTGATGAGTGCCATCCTGGAATCCTGGCTGTCGATGAACAGTTGGTCAAAGCATCTGAAGAAAGAAGGGAGCTGCTTCGTCAAGGGGAACAGACTCTACAGCTCATTGTAGCTCCAGGGTGCTGGTTTCGAGTCCGAGACTCACTGACCACAGGACCAATGGATATGCCACGTACGAGTCCACATTCTGCACAACTACTACTCTATGTGTGCGGCGGCATCTATTTGGTACTAAACTCAAATACCCTGACTACCTATTATAATCTATTATATATGTGGGGGCCCTATCTCGTTTAGACTTAGACTACTTAAGTAGGAGGTCATGTCACAGTATCTCGTTCAGACTACTTTAGTAGCAGATCACACTATCTCGTTCAGACTACTTTAGTGTCATCAAGCAAAAGTATCTCGTTTATGTACGGGTGCCTATCTCGTTCCCAGGCGAATACTGATAGACAGGCAAATAGAGTAATTATGCCGTAGACTACTTTAGTAAAGCCTAAATAAAAGTGGTTGCTCATGTGATGTCTACAAGTGGCCCCACCAGAATTCTGTATCCTTCGCTGTGTACATCCATGACCCCCCTGACGAGTTCTTCCAGAGGGTGCACCTGTCCCTGCAATTCCCGCAGAGACTTCCGCATTGAAGTAGCCATTCATGAAAGCTGCTCCTGGAGAAACACAAAGTCTTGCACTGGAAGGCCCAGGATGTTCCAGTGATCGGAGGTTTTACCAGCTTTGGCCTGACAATCGACCTGGAAGACTTGCGGCCTCATTCATCAGCTTATGTAGCAATGTACATCAATCTGCCCAGTTGGGCCAACCCTGCTATTTCTCATCGATTTGTGCTCTTGCGCTCCGAAGCCAAACGCCAAATTCGTAGGGCTCAGCAGCCAAATCCTCAGCATGTCGGAACTCGGAACCTTGCGTGTGTCGCAATAGATGGCGGTTCACAGTTGCGTGCACTGATTTGGTCAGATTTGGTCTTGAAACATCAAATGTCCCACTCATAGGGGTTAAACATTGATCCAACAGTGCAAGGTTCTATCTCGGATAGTAAGGGGTTGGTCATTCCAATAGCCTGCCCGGACACTCCGACTCTGAGTGCTGGGCACGACATCAGACCACAGGGAAATGGCCTGTGCATTTGTTTTGTCACAACGCTTGCGCCGCTTGGTAGAGACGATAAAAAGCCCGAGCCTCCTCTCACTCAATATCTTTGCTTGGACGACCAAGCACAAATGGACATCTAGGGGGTCCTATTTCCAATCGAAATGGAGTTTAAAGCCTATGAACAAAGTGGATCAAAGTAGATGTCTGAGGGCTGAGCACCTCTGTACCATTGATTGTTGCGTCATTTCCAGTTTTGCCCAGCTCAAGAAACTCAATGATGCCAGCAGCACTGCCCGGAATTTGTCAAGGGCCTTGGCACGGAGTCTGGTATGGCACGGAGTGCAACCACGACTGACGACAATACTCACTTGCCAGACTCCTGAGACTCCTGAGATCGGGCTGCAAACTGCGAACACGTTCGCAAACAGCTTTTGCCCATAATACGACTGGGGTGTGTTATTCAACTCAACGTACGCACGCCAAGAGAACAAGCGTTTCAGGTGTCAAACTGTCATGACATATCATGGCATATCCTTCAATTCTCACATCATCAAGCTTTCTTGCTAGCTTGCAGGCACTGACCTCGGGGGTTGGGAAAGCATTGCTCACCAGGGTCCTGCACTCAAAGCACCGAGGCTTCTTCAACAAAGAGGGCAAATGTCCAATCCTGTCCTTGTCGTCACATCTGACCCCACCGCCCCAAAACCAAGCTTCGCGCTGGGCCCTGCGACGTGGGCTCCTGCAAGGGATGAACATTAAATTGGGAAAGAGTCCAAGCAGCAAAGTAGCGTTAATACTAAACATGTAATGCCTAAAGTAATGGTTTGTAATACATGTTAATTGTGAATGCGTAAATTGAGCCGTTGCGCAGGTGAATTCCCCAATCTTCGAGCTAAGTGCGCGCACTGCATTCTATCTCATCGAGGCCTTACCGAGAATCCCCGGACTCCAACTCACGTCCGGCACCTCCCGGGGCAGTGGGTCGCTACGGGCGAAGACGACCTCGGACAACGTCCGGCCATCGAGTGCAATGACAAAAGCGATGATTTGAACCTCCAACCTAAGAGCCATCCCCTCCAACCTACTAGTGATGGCCATTTTGTTTGGTGAATCGAGCGAAAACCTCTTCAAATGCAAACGAGGAAAGCAGTGCCAAAGTCGAACTCAAGAGCCTTTCATGCGGGCCCACTTGAGCCAGGATGTGGAACAATGCTCCACATGGAACATTGAAACAATCAGGGCGAGGACTCATGAAACTCCACTGCCTGAAATTCCCTGGAAGAGATTTAAACTTTGGCTAGCCCCAGTCCGAGTCATGTCCAGTCGGGGTTGATTGAGCCAGTGCCAGTGTGTTGGACAATTCCCCAAGGCTGCTGGCTGTCGCAAGAGCGGCAATGACTATCAGCACCTGAGAACTCGAAACTATCAAGGGACAAGGGCATGCTTTGTAGATTGTACAGTTTTGGGTCCGATGTCTTACTTTGTAAACAAAAAAACTTGCCGCAGTGATATTTGAGGACGTGCAATCATATCAAAGTCACCCTGAAATGCCCAAAACAACTTTGAGTGCATAGTCTTATGAGTCCGCTGGAGGACGAAAGAGCCAACATGACAGTACCAACAATTTTACATGGACATGTTTTGGGCAGTTGGCAATCATGAAATCACCTGAACGGTTGCCCAACATGTGTTTACCACTTTACCACGGCCAACTTGTCCCCCTTTTCCTTCGCAAACTAGAGCATGAACCATCTACTAATCATCTATTCTTCAATTGTTCCATCCCAAAAGAATGGCCCCCGCTCGCAGATTCCCATATAGTCATGCTGGTACCTGATTAAAGTATGTTATAATTATAATATACATGTATATGTTTTTCAATATATTACATATTTATGCTATAGTATCCTATATTACGTTATGTTGTTGTTGCTGTTTTATATGTTATGTTATATGTGGTGTAACTAAAATGTTATGTTATATATTACAACAATGTTATGTTATATCATATGTTATATGTTACGATACATGTTGTGTTATATACTATGCATCGCTTTGTTATATTGTATTATATTATACTGTTCTACGCTATATTGTACTATTCTATACTATATCATATATATATACAATTATATACACATCTTTTGTTGCACATGCGTTTTCCCAACTGGACCCAGCAACGGTGGAAGCTCTCGTCGCTAGGTCCGGCAATCTGGGCCCGGTGCAAGGATGGAGGCATCATCCTCAACATCTGCCACTCGCTGAAGTCGGCGTCTGCTAGCTTTCTTCCCACTCGGGTGTGACCCTAAGCCTTCTGTTCGGTCCCGAGACATGCTCCAAAGGTCTCAGCTTCCAGTCCTGCTTGAAATACTGGATCAGGGAAGTGAGCAACTTCAAGGCAAACTCCCAGCCCAAGTAGCGCAGCGCGAAGACTCCTCACAAGGACCAAGAGTGAAGCGTTCGACACTTGCGGTCACCCAGAGCTGCCAATTCGACGTATCTTCAATGCTTCAAATGCACCTTTTCGATTGTGCAAAGCTGAACCAACTTCACACATGATGCAAACAAAGCGCCCAACTCCCCAAGGGTTAGATCCAGACCTCTACCCAAATAAACCAAGAATAAATAAACCAAGAATAGAGGGCCGTTAATGTAGGAGACAGCTTGCTCAGAAGTCTGACCAGGATTTATCTTTGTTTCACCTTATAGTGCAAGAAGGCTTGTACAATGCATACAGTAGTTTCATGGACTGGATCGGCCATACCGTACCCTTTCTTCGTTTGGTGTAGATGCTTACCACCCACCGGTTGATTGGGTTTCACGGGAAGGAAGTCCAGGAGCAGGTAGAGCAGGTAGAAGGTATACTGGCATGTGATCTGATTTCGCTGTATAGTTCCCACTGAGGGGGTGTTCTCCTGTGATCGTTCTAGCCTTTGACCTCAAGGGATGCGTAACAGTTACGCATAGTTGTGTCTTCCTTGTTGCTCTTGAAGAAGCCACCCTCAGAGTTGTGGGAACTGAGAGGCACTGAGGAGGGAACCGGACTGTTCCTAGAAGTGTAGCTGCTGGCCTGGAAGAGTGCAAATTTGTAGGGTTTCTAGTTCGGTTGTCAAACGCTGGAAGAGGCTTCCGCAACGCAAAGCACTGAAACTTGGACTTGTGGGAACCCCTCCGCCAGCAGAAAAGCGTCAGAGAGGTTGATTTGTTTCGGACTCCGAGCCAAGAGTCCTTGGAACAGTGGCAGTGGCGGCAGCTTTTTCCTGACAGCCCTGTTTGGATTTTCCATGGCAATGCTGAAGCTGATAAAGATTGTCAAAATCCGCCTGCACCAAAAGTGCTGAGGCGCTTCCGCTAGAAGTTGCTAGATAGCACATAGCTTCAGCAGGGGCATGTTTGCTCTAGAATGCTGTGCTTTTGACGTTTTTTGAAAACGGACGAAAAATCAGCAAGGCATCGGTGATGTCGGCTATTCTGCCCGAGTGAGACTGCATTATTGACATCCTGTGTGCTTGCCCCTGCGCAAACCAACCGAGACAGACCGACTGAGGCAAACAAACCGAGACAAACAGACCGAGACAACAGTTTCTGTGCGGGCGGCTTCGGCCGCAAAGCGGTGTGAATCAATGCCGGCAAGCACGATTTGGAAGGTAGAACTGCAAAGAAGCTGACCATCGCCAACTTGGTTGATGGCAGAACTTTCAATGTTTAATCGCGCCTTCTTGATGTTAGCATTGTTTGATGGTTTTTGGCAAGGCTCCAAGAATCAGTAAGCCTGAACTGAACCTCTTGTTTCATTTCCACAGCCGCCTACAAGAAGAGAGCTGCTGGAAGCCCTTTCGACGACTCAAGGTCAGCATTTGTGGGCAAGCGTGGAGTCCAAGATTAAGGTTGAAAGAGCAGCTAACAGTGTTTCAACCAGGGCAGGATTGTCCATCTCTTCAGTGTGGAATCAGGGTTACGAGTAGCATTGCCCAGTTGCATTTCAAATCTCTTGGCATCATCCTTGCAAGCGGCAAGGCAGAACTCGAAGGTGCTGAATATGGTAAGTAGCTGAAGCACTGGTGGTCTTGAGGGAGAAAACAAAGGGAAGCTGAAAAAGCACACACAAGCTAGGAGCAAGAAGCTACTAGGGGCTCCTGGCATCGCTACTAGGAACAAGGACGCTACTAGGTGCTGAAAAAGCACACACAAAAAACACATTCCCACCCAACACATCCACCGTCGCCTGAAAGCCACGCGTTGGCTTCTCGAGTCTTCGCCTACCGGTGCCATGCTTTCGGACCTGGGAACAATGGGTGAAACTGTAGATGGGCTTTTTCCTCTTTCTTGCTCCCATTTCCAACATGGTCCCTCGGTCCCTCCTCATTCTTCTAAGTCAAACACCTGCATGGTGTCATGACAAACCAAATTCTGAGAGGAATCGATTCAGTTCCTTGGTTGAGAATCCTATCCTACAGACCGTTGGAGAGTCCGTTTAAAGCGGAGATGGGGCTCGCCATCCTTCCAAACGCAGAGATACTCCCTGGAACTGACATGGAAGTGGAAAATGGCCCCTTACAATTTTCCACTTCCATATTCGTTCCACCGAAAAAAGACATATGCTGATTCCATCCCATTCCGAGCAGACGAAGTCGTGTCTGCCAGGGGAGAAACAAAAACCGCCGAGACTCCTGCGGGCGGCCCAGAGCCCATCTGCGGTCCTCCGGGTCTTCCGTTCCGGAGGCCAACAGCGCCGAGGCATGCCTCAGGTTGGACCCAATGATCAAAGCTGAAGGAACTCAATCTGAGTTGGAACATTCAAAGACCTGGGAATGAAAGTCAAGTAAATGAACATGGACATGCTGTATATATAATAGTAAGAAGTAAATGAAAGTAGAATATGAAACACAGTATCAACATGTATCAACAATGTCTTGTCTAAGAGTCTCGTCCGTCACGTCTAAGAGTCTAACAACTGCAAGGTGGGATTCTCTCCTTCTACCCTCTGGATCTTGGATCGCAAAAACCACTGGTGGGAACACATCCTTCCCGACGGGGCGCGCTTTTAGGTGATCGGGCTGGAATGGTTAAGACGGTCATGAATAACGTCATATTCTGCGATGATTTGACCCTTTTACTGGCGACACGCAAGCACAAGCTCGTTTCCAAACATGTTGCGCAACATAAAACTGCGCAAAGGATGCTCCGAGGCATGCTGACCCAGCATGGTCATTCTTCATCTGGGTTCGGTTCGGAACGAACCCCAAACACTTGTTACTAGAAGCGATGCACTTGTTACTAATAGCTTCTTAGTTACTAGCGAACCTTGTTACTACTAGTGGCCACAGTTTGGGATAGCTGGGCCTCCACACGCAAAGTACGATCCCTGACTCGTCCACATCACACCAGCAGCTAAACCTGAAATGTGTCAGGACTCCCGATCCGAGGTCCCCTTTGTGTTCCGGAGCCCTAAGCGAGGCTAAGAAATGCTAGAAACATGAGCTGGGCCTGATTCTAGAAACTCAAGAAACAAATCCTCCATGCAAAAGCGCAGCACACTGCATGTCTCAAGCCTGCCACCACTGAAGCGCTGCATAGCAACACCGGGCCCGCGCTCAAGCAGCTCTGGCACCGAAGCGGAAAGAGGTGCCAATTGCTTTGCTGAAAGGAAACTCCATTCTTGGTCTTCGGCCCTGCTAGAAACTGGACACTTGGGGATACAATCGGAAGATGTGGGACATCTTTCAGTTTACATCTTCCTCTTTGGAACGAAGCAGTTTGTCATCAGCGTCGATTGCTTCTTCTGGTACGTGGTCATTCGAGAAGGATCGACAAGCTTTGGGTCTAGCGAAACATGGATCGACTGTGCGAAACTGAAGGTAGCGATCGATGTGGCTTCCAGTTCCTCTCTGAATAAAGACAGACCAGTCAATTAGTATCTGGACATTCGAAGCAACGGTCTAAGTGTAGAGTGTAGTGTAGAGTTCTGATGCGATAAGCAAGTTCAGAAAGGTTTGTTGTTCCAGTACAAGTATATAGCTCTCAAAACATCCATCAATGGCTTGTCCGCGGCCGCACTTTGGCTCAATTGCAAACAGAACTCGCATCCAATAATTACACATCCCAAACTGATGTATCGGCTTGCAGTGATGCGATCAGTATGTTGTTCGATCTGCCTGCCTCCTTTTCGACATCTCCCGTCTGCAGGGCCCGCGCAGTGCAAAACCTCACAAGACATCTGTGCTGAGAAAGTTGGGAAATGCAGGCAAAGAGATATGATCTGCAATGAACAACGGTTTACTTGCATCTGGAAAGGCAAATGAAAAAGTGCATGAAAGCAGCATGGACGGAAAATCAAAACATCTCGTCTGAATGTTCTCAAAAAAACAACGCTTCACTGGCTGGCAAGCCTTAATTCCAACGCTCTCATCTTCAAGAAAACAATTCATTGGCTTTGCAGGTTTATACGAGGAGAGTTTCCTCATCACCAAACATCATTGGTGCAACATCGTGTCAGGGTCGAGTATGTACCCGTCAAGTCTACCAAGTCGATCCTTTTGCTTAATGTGCAGCTGAATGACAGGATCGCATACAGAACGTAGCTGCTAAAGGAGTAGAGCAAGCATCCTTGGCGGCCTGTGAGAGCTGGAGAAGCTTATGGAAAAACAAACTGGTGCGTTGAATAGACTGAGGAATGAATCCCAGCAAATGTTAAGCACAGCAATCAAAACCTATCCACCGAAATCCCGTTTCCTCCGTAGAATTTCAGAATGAGTGATTCTTTTGGAAGCTAAGGGTCATCAAGCAAAGAGCTAGAAGCATGTAGAAGCCATTATTCTTTTGCACTCTCAGGACAAAAGAAAGGACGGAAAGGTTCTGCAACCGCTCAAAAATACTCAATCTGGCCCTGTAGACTATTTCATTAACCGTCGGATTAGATCAAGGTATATCAGTAGCTTGACGCTGTGATGCAGCTAGGGCAAATAAAAAGGCACTTCATCTTGGTCAAGTGAAATGGCCATGATTGGGTGCTCGCGAAAAGCTCTCAAGGATGACACATTCATAGAGACCCAGGAATGACCTACTTCCAGTCATGGGTCTTGATGTCACACAAGTATATAACTGAATGGAGCTAAACTAGCGTAAACCTGAAACACAGGCCTGCAAGGCAAGTTGGGGGTTGTTTAAGGCCGGCCAGTACGTGGCTTTGCTGTCGCAGCGCCTAGGACTGAAAGCAGCGGCACCGCCAGGAACATGGAACCCGGCCAGGTCGAGACCTCTCAGGCGGCAGGCGTGAATTTCGACTGCCTTTTTTTTTTCGATGAATGCTTTCAGAGGATCAAAGCGTGTTAGCCGATCTTGGCCGATGAAATGAGCTTGGACTTGGAAACCCTGATAAGAAGCTCCAAGAATGCGCTTGCACAAACGTGCTCTCTGGTGTCAAATAAAGGTTATCCAAGTGTTCGGGGTTGTCCTCTGGGTGCTGGAGGCATCACTGGTTGGAAGCTGTTGGTTTTTGCTCTCCTCAGAACCTCGGTACCAACTACAATGGGTTTTCAAAACTACTCCAGCATCTCCAGCCGCGTAAGGACTCCAACCCCAACCTGCTGTGGCCCGACCGAGCTTTCGACATAGAAAAAGCCATTGGCAGTAGAGCCGCACTGCTCGGAAAACAAAGTGGTGGAGTAGACCAGCAAGGTACCAAGACCTCTCAGCCAAGCCAAGCTGGTGCCTCAGACCTGTCCTCAGACCTCTCATGAGTCTTCCCTTTCAGTGGCAGAACCGTTCGATTTTTGCAGAATTCATGGACAGTACCTGTTTCTATCCTCTGTTTAGAGAGGGGTGGGACCTGAATTGAGGCAGGTCTACCATTCCAAAGCCTCTCTATACAAATGTCTCTCATCATCCCTCTGGTCCTGGCTCAATTCATTTCCCACTTGAATCATCTTGAATCTGAGTATGTCAAGAACTCTCTCTGCTGACGTGCTTCAAAGCGCTTTTGCAACTAAATCTCATCTTGCACCTCCGTGGACCGCGCCAAAGCAGTTCGCCATAAGCCGCAGCTGTCCTTTGGGGTCGCTGCGCTGAGAAAATGTCAGAACACTTTCGAAAGACGTTGGTTGTCTAACCTCGGGACAGCTAAACTTTCGCTTTTAAACACAGACCATCACATGCTGTGTCCCAGATTCACCAGTCCTTCGATGGCTTCCTTGTCTAAAGGCTCCGGCCTTTCACCGGTCTCCATGGCTCAAGAGCCCTGAAAAGCCCGCGGAGCACGCGACGGGCTACGGCGGGACACGACGGATCAGAACACCCTGTGGATGACGTACGATGACATTGAGGCACCGCACCTACTAGCGGAAGCCACATTCTTCACTTGAAGTTCGGTTCGTTCTCTTGAACAAAAAAAGTCACGGGCAACTCTGTGTCGTGAACAATGGTCTCTACCTTTTCAAGCTGTCTCTGTGTCTGGCCTCAGCAACTTTCAGATTTCAGGAGGTCTGTTCGACTCACTTGACGGCATCCAAACGACAATGACACCAATGACATCCATTGACACAAGGCAAAGGGTCTTTTGGGGGTCTGACATGTGGAATTCATCATTAGACCATATCATAGATAGATCTGATCTCATCATGAATAACCCATAAATCATTTGATGTCCATGGTCCATGGGCCTCAAATCATATATCACATCATTCCACTTTTCACCCTCAGAGAAAGCTACGGAGGAGACGTGCCCGCAAGCGCAGCGGGTCGGACCTGTTGGTGTGTGAGCTTCTTGGTGGAGCTGGTGATGGGTAGAAGAAGTGTTGCTTGATATCTCAGAACAATTCCCTTGGGTCAGAACGAGACTCACACTGTGTCATGAAGTTTCAGGTACAGTAGTTTCAATGTAATCCTTATTCCATCGAGGAGGCGGGGGTCGAGAAATGAAGGCTTGGGTTGTAAACCTGGAAGGTGGTAAGGCTTCGTTGTAGTGACCCCAGAGTTGGCCAGAACAAGCGGGTCTGCAACCGTTTGAAACTGCAAGTTCCACCGAGAACTGCATGAATTTGGTGATGTGAACACGGTTCTAGTGAGAAAAGTCCCAATTCAGGGATTTGCTTCTGGCTCGAACACACCAATCGTGATCTGATTAACCACCATGGGAGGCCGTCACAAAACAACCAGCTTGGTGGTGCAGGCTTTGTCCTATATCGAAAGGTTGGCTGGTAGGGTTTCCTGATATTTTAAGGCGACTCCTATTGCAGTGTCAACAAAGGCCTTGGTGACACATCTCCCCCGCCCAGGCGCGCATTCTCTCCCTTCGGCCTGAAGGAAGTTGGAGCAAGGGCAAGGGTCAAGAAGTTCATGGACTCCTCCGGAAAGAATCAAGAATGATCCGAGACTTCGCGGTCCTATGGTGAAGTCTGGAGAAGTCCATTGATTGGTGGGATCCCCCTGTGGAGATGATTGCTCCTGGCATGGCTCGGCGGGGGGGTTCGTTCTGACTTCAAGTGGATGGGATTCCCAATGGGTGGAGGACGCCCTTGCGCTCAGTTGATCAGCACTGCATCACTGCCTCCGCCGCATCTGTACCCTGACATGAAACATCGATCTCACTGTGGCTCCAATTCCATCCCGTCCGCCCAAAGAGAGTCCGTCCTCCTCCACTTCAGGAGAGACGAGGCTGGGAAGCACAGTGGCCTTTTCCGAGGGGAAGAGTGGAGGGTGTCGGATTGTTTGTTTGGATCGATGGCATGTCTTCAGTTGTTTTCTAGATCTATATGAGTGTTGATGTTGATTCATGAGCCTCCGGTTTCATTGTGCAATAGATGATCGTACTCCTACGCCTTGATAATTCCTGTCTTGCACAGCTATCCACAATTGTCTACAGTTCCTACACAGAGAGGGGTTGCGGGAAGGGTTCCATTGTAGGCGCCTCTGGGTTGTTGGGCCAGCCCAGTGCTTGGCCAAAAGGGAATTCTCGCCAACCTGCCCAGTCAAATGCACTGTTTCTGACTGATTTGATAGCTCGAGTGTGAGGAATGCTTTGATAGTCATACTTCAGAACTTAAATTTGATTTCAAGCTTAAATTAGATTTCAAGGTTGTCAAGACCTTTCGCGTGTCAATCTCTTGGAACCTACCGCCTATATATCTGAGCAGCAAACTTAAAGGGTACACTTGAAGGCCACAATGATCCTTGGCGGTTACTGAATGTCTGTATGTCTGTGTAGTATATGTATGACTTGATAGCCAGTAGTCCCGAATTGTATACAGAAGAGGTGTTCATCTTGTTCCAAAGGTGCAATGCCCCTGCCACACTAAGCTAGTTTCCATGTTTGTGGAGATGAAGGTTGGTTTAAAGGGCTTGGCAGCGTCTCGGAAAGAGATGGGTCATATATTTTTCTGAACAACTGACCTTTGCTATCCAGTTGGACTTGAGAGAAGGGGGTAGCAGCAACAACAACAACAACAGGACCACCAGTAGGCCACCAGCAGACCAGCAGTATCAGCAGGGCAGCAGGAAACCCGCAGCAGAAGATCAACGACAGAAGATCAGCAGTACCATCAGCAGCAAACCAGCAGCAGACCTGCAGCAAGAGCAGCAGCAAGAGCAGCAGCAAGAGCGGCTGCAGATTTGCAGCACCCAACCAGTATCAGCAAACCAGAAGCAGCAAACCGGAAGCAGCAAACAACTGCAATCCTGCAGCAGCAAACCATGGGATCCAGCAACAGCATAGGAAGCAACAAAAAAAGTCAGCCACAGGAGGAACATGGGCAGGAACACGCATGAAAAAGAGCATGGGGATGAGGACGAAGCTCTGGAAGAAAAGAGAACGAGGTGGGCCGGAGGATACTTCGTAAGAAAGAAGTGGGTGAAGGTGAGTTGGATGAAGTATAGAAGACATGAAGTGGACAAGCTCGATACGAATGCAATCACAAAACAGAAGAACCGCCACTTGCGGCCCCAAAATCAAGTCATTCGGAAGGATCCCCCTTCTAAGATAGATAAAGCTAATTGAATTCAGGTTGCCTGAGGCAACCTGTCGTATCCTTTCGTGATAAAAGCATCTCCCAGCGTCACCGGCCGACCCACCTTCTGGACCCTCAAGGTACACCTCAGCTGAGGCAGTTTCATAAAATTGGTCCTACATCAACATGGATTCAGAAAGAAACATCTGCACTTCTCAAGCTTTCTTTGGTTCCTGTGCCCAGCGAGCTTGCAAGCACAAAGTCCTTCCTCTCAGCCCTTTTGGCTGATTCTGCGCTTGGCAAAGAGATCTCCATTTTCCTTCGAAAGCAAGGCACTCATCTGCCAAAGATCTTTGGTTCTGAAGAAAGGTCCTGCTATGATTTGTTGAGACGCTTGCAGATGACAATGTATTCAGGGTAAACCTGATTGCTGGCTCCACGGAGTGAGTCATGCAGTCCCTGCAACATCGAGTTTCGCTTCATCACCTGAGCTTGTGGATTGCAAATATGTATATGTAATTATGTATATACTATACTGTATATGATTACAGTTCTTACAGGTCCCCTTTTCCTTTAGCTGCTTTTGGACAACCACTATCCTCAGTCGCCACTTCTCAGTGGCTTCTCTCGCTCTTTCAGAACACCGACTCCACCGGTTCCAACTCAGTTCGTCACAGTAGATCCCATTGCCGCAGACTCTGCAGAGCGCAGAGTCTGGCTGTGCCCCTTCCCGACTTCCCCGGTAACACCCGATGGAAGTCGACTCGGAAGTCTGAGCTGAAGATGTCATGGGCAGCTGATGACAGATCTCATGGCAACTCACACACTCTGCAGCGCGATTCATGGCCTGCAGTTTTACAAAAGTCATTGCAAAGGCCAGGCGCTTTCAAGTAGCAACGCTTTCTCTTCACATCTCTGGCGAATTCGCTCCCTTTGTCGCCAATCCAGAATCCAAAGGCGATGTTCATTTCGCACCGCCTGCACCACTTCAAAATCCTTCACAGCTTCATCACCTTCTGACGCTGTCCGGTCACTGGTGGTGATGGCCTTCCAAGTGCTATTCATCACCGATGGTATCGCTTCACCCAGTCTGTGTGCCATCAAGTCTGCCTCAATGTGCACAGGGCTTTGGCTTCAGCTCACTGTTTGCACAAAGGGCTTTGGTTCACTCAGTCTGTGTGCAGACATTGCATGCACTCTGTAGCCTCGTCCTCTATCCTCCAATATGCTGGCGTTTCTGTGGGCATCTTCATGTCTTCTTTCGATGCAGCAAGTATCATGTCATACTTTCCCTGCCAGGCCATCGTCCCGTTTTCCCGGAGCCACTTTCATCTCGGATTGTCCGAATCCCATTACAGCTACAAAAACGGCTCATGGCTATGTACTCCAGCTCAGCACACCATCTGCTTTTCAAAGTTGTTCATTGAGTCAAGTCTTGTAAAGTTGCTCTTCCTGCCCCCTGAATGTCCTCTATGTCCTCTCCTCCCTTCTATCCATCCGGGGGTCGTGCACGATCCACTGTCCAAAGGCTGGGTGAGTCATTGGCCTCAAAGCGACCCAAAGTTTTCCAAGGACCAAGCATAGAACTCATACAGTATGTGATATGATATACTCTACATATGATTGATTCTCATTGTATTGTATCAGTCACATATTATGATAGTCTTATTGTACTCATACAATACATGTGTCATACTTTACCAATCTTTACCAGGAGCAAGGACGCTACTAGGGGCTCCTGGCCTTACTACTAGGAGCAAGGACGCTACTAGCATATTACTCATATGACCCGGATTGACCCACCCTGTCAACATCCTCGGAAAAGACTCAATCATGGTTCATATGGACGCAGCGGATTCTGAGCGCCTGAGGCTGAAACCAATCGGATCGTGTCCACTTGTCCAACATCCTGAGGAAGTTCACTCTGCACTCTGGACTATTGGAGGATTTGGCCCTGTTTCGTTTGTAGACCATGGGCTTGGGTGCACACGTTCGTTCAATTCAGGCACTTTTTACACTTCACAATGTTTATTGCTTGCTTCCCAGGACATTTGCAAGAGTTTGGGGAATTGTTGAGGTAGGAAAGAAATCAGGATTCCGAGGATGACTCAAAGGTACAAAGACCTAGACCCACGAACTGTAAAGCCCAACACCTGCTCCAAAGCATGCTTTGGGGGAGTGCGCCTCTAGCCAGCACCAACGATCGGGAAAATTCCGTCCTTCGCAAAGATCGAGAATTCCACGCGAGAGGAGTCCTCAGACGAGGTCGAGTTCTCGCTCCACCAGGTGTTTTGAGCAAGAACCGTGGTGCCAAGATCTTGACCAGTTGACCACTCACAATGGCAAGATCTGAAAAGCTCCAGAGTAGCAATTCGATGTACTGTAATGGTGATTTGTCGCAGCAAGG